TATCAAGTCATAATTTTCAGAGAAGTGTGTAACTTTAGACGATACTGAGATAACACTGCAACCTTTCCAAGGAAGTGTTGTGGGTACGTGCTTTCCCATTGTAACTTCTTTCACAGTCATAGACTTTGAACTTTGGACGTAATATACATATACATGAAAATCGATGGGCTCATAGAAACAAGATATACTAAACTACATGTATATCTTAAGCTCACCATACAGCTTATTGTTAATCTTACCTGATCGATCTCATCCATTTGCGTAACAGTAACAATAGCGAGTAAGAAAGCAGAAATGTTCTCCAGCAAATGCTAACGTATACTGTCAATGCTATCAGATCTACACCAAAAGGCTTGTTGCCTTAACGTGTCACCACTGTCATGTGACAGGTGTTTACATTAGATGACGAGGAACCCACTTTAAGACTAATAATGGCTGGAGACGGCTTGAATGGGTAATGAAAAAAACTTCAATATAAGTTTAATATTAAAGTTTTCTTCATTACCCATTCAAGCCGTCTCCAGCTATTATTAGGTATTTACATTCTTAGTTTTAGCAGGATATAGTTTTCTTCTTTTTCCTGACGTCTAACTGGCTACAGCAAGTGCATAACAACTGAAAACATATAAAAAAAAATATATAACCTATATACACCCAGTGGCGGAATATGCCTACCCTGCGCAGTTAAATGTAGCAAAAATATATATAAGTAAACTACATAAAATACAAAACTCGTTACTAACAAAAACATACAAACACGACATTTTTGCACAACTACGCAAACATCTTTATCTTGTCAGATAGACTTCTTAAAAGATCAATAGATTATTTCAAGAAAAATCTGAACAAAAATACTTCATTTAGCATACTGAAAAAAAATTATCATATTGTTACGTCTCGGTTTGTTAATTAACTTTCCGTAACTTCGTTGCGACGAAACTTTAACGACACAAGTCCTTACTTAATAAAAACTGGTTTATTCTTTCCGAATATAACTTTACCGATACATTCAACTTCAACAATCGCGCTAAACAAACGCTGTAACGTCTCTCGTGCTCTCTGACTGCAGTTCAATAACTCACTATCTACACACACATTACCTTCCCACGTTGTCCCCTCTTATTTATACCCGCTTACCCTATATCTAGTAAGAAGTAGAACATTCGCCAAAGTTCATGATAGTTCTAGAAACGTTGCGTCCCAGTAG